ATCTAAAATTATAGTGGAATGCTTTTCCCCTTCACATATTTAGCTCGCTTTTGTTTAGAGTGATTTCATACTATCTTGTGATTTATAAACTGTTTTTCATGTGTGCAAGGAAAAGCAAGCAGTCATAATTATTGATTAGTTATTTCCATTAATTTTGTAAGAAAATCTGCAGCACAATGTGGTAAATGATTATTATTTCATTATCTAGTGCTGTAAAATACATTTTTGACCATATGTAATGAACGTAATGTTCATAATCAGTTTCTCAAATGGAGCCAACTTAGTGAGAGAAAGGACAGAGAAACAAATTACAATTTCTACCAGCAGTGCTTTCGCTTGCAAGCTATTCATTCCAAACAAGGACTTGCAGAGGAAGTACAAACAATATATTTCCAAATCAGTGTGGTGAAGGTCACAGGTAGTGACACAGAAAGGAGTTACGAACATATAATAGAACAAACCCTAACAACCATATCCCAAACAAAAGTCAAATTGTCAAGTAACATGGTGGATTTATGAAAAGAATTGTTTTGAAAGCAAACACTCTGATAAAGACTTGGCCCTGGAGCGGCAGTTTACAGTATAATGTGAAGTCATAATGTAAATGTTCAATGCTGCATCGGCCATCAAATGCAATGTGTGTGCATGTGTTCATGCGCTCATTTCTGTCAGTATATGGTGGACGGAAATTGCCTCTGGCAAGGCACAAAATCAATCCCAACAACGCTGCATCTTTCAGGTAGTGCAGCACTGACAACTTGAATGAAATGCACCCTTCACATCTCCAGTTTAAGACATTCAATTTCCAGCTGCTTCTTGGGGCAGAATTCTGCAGTAGAAGATCAATGCAAAATGACTGGAAAATTGCTAATGTTATTTACATCAAAGTGAGACTGGAGGAGACCAATTATGCCAGTGATTCAAGGCAATATTCCTAAGTGAGTTGTCCCTTGGGTAATAAGATTACAATATTTTTATATTATTAATATTCTGAGGTCTAACCAGTATTGTTTTTTTAACAACACATATAACAACTCAGATAACCTGACTACAGGTATTGGATATGCTGTAGATGCTACAGTTATATTATTTTTTGAATAATATATTTTGAAACTTAAGTTTTTGTGGTGAAATCCTAAAAATATTTCAGCTGCTAGAAGATACACAAAGACATACAAACGAGGTTTTGTTGTGGGGAGAAATCAGATCTATGGGTGTGACACACAACACTATCCTCTGATGTCTTTGCTCAGACACAGCTATGCGTCAAGTAGCAGTTTGGTTGTATTTTTCATGTTTCAATTTGCAGTTGGAGTTTACCACTGTCTCAAGGAAAGCTGTGAGCTGTTACTGGGGAGGAATCAGATTTTCTGTGTGAGATACAACAGATGAGGTGTCAAGATTGATGCAACAACATTGTACAGTGTGTGTGTGTGTGTGTGTGTGTGTGTGCGTGTGTGTGTGTGTATTTGTGTGTGCTGGCACTTGTGAGGGAACACATTTTTTTCCTGAGGAAAGCACATCCATGTTGGAAAATCAACAACAACAACATGTGTGACAAATGGCAGCAGCATATCTAGAGGAACACAGAGAATGAAGAACATAGCTGAAGTGAATGGCTGGACTGTTTCGCCTGTTTAAAACAGTTTTCCGTGGGGACCCACAGATGTGATAGGCAGTGGCTGGTATTTTGTGGCCACTTTGTTTGCCTTTGCACTATCATGCCTGCATGCGTAAGTGAGCCAGCACAGGGCACAGCCAATCTCAAATGAAGCTCATTTCAAATCAAGCCATTTCAAATCAGGCGAGCTGATGGAAAGAGAACAGCTTTCAAAAGGCCATGGTGCATTCCCCATCTCCCAGACCAACACAAGTATTTATTTAGTTGTGATGCTACATGAGAGTGGATTATAGTTACAGTCCCACTGACAGTGAACCGCAGTAACCTGCCAAGCGACTGTCAGTGACCCTGAGAGACATTAGCTATTTTGAACATTTTGAAATATCCAAAGATTCTGATGAGTGATGCCTCTAAGGATTGATCTAGATGAGTTATATTAATACAATTTAAATGTTAAGTGTGTAATATTGAGGAAGATCTATTGAAATAAATGAAATATAACACACATAACTATGTTTTCAGTGGTGTATAAAGACCTTACAAAATTAACCATTATGCTTTTATTACCCCAGACTATGCCATTTCTATCTACATACACTGCTGGACCGCTTACATGGAAGTTGCAATGTTACCGCCGCCATGTTTCTACAGTAGCCTAAACGGAAAAACTGCTCAACAGAGCGCGTTTCGTCACTAAGTTGAATACATACAAAGAAGACCACAACAATAACGTTAGTAGTAGTAATAGTAGTAGTAGTCAACTGGTTTATTAGAAGTAAGAAAAGAAGAGAAATATGGAAAAACGGAGGACCACATAAATTATTTAGCACAAGAGCTGACACCATAGCTTCTCCTACACGCTTAGAAAGGGAGAGATGAGCAGTGACTGATGGGGCAGAATAATCAGAATATTTTTTTCCTCCTTAAATCTTTATTGCAAAAAGAGAAATAAAGTGTACATGGGACATAAAGAAGTATACAGAACTTTGATTCGAGTAAGTTATACACTCTGATAACGCTAATCCAACACATCTTTGTAGTAGCGTCCGTGTTGATTCCACATACCCACTTAAGAGCACACGAAGTTGGAAGAACGACTTCGCAGCTTGGGAAATGGGAACATCCGAGGAATGCACATTGAGCCGCTTGTTGCAATTTGCAACCCTCACTGCTAGACGCCACTAAAACTAATACACTGGACCTTTAAGTGAATGCTACACTGTAAAAAAGCATCTCTCTTAACCAGTCATTTTATCTCACACTAGAATTTCAAGAATATGAAGAAAATTACACATGACTGAAACAAGCTGTTGCTTGTTATAAGAAAAACACTGATCTAAACAAAAGGCTTTGTCACGTTGGTGTCCAAGATTTCAGAATGATTTCTTTTTGAAAGAGTGATACAACCTCGTTTTGAAGTTTGTCAGTCAGTGACAGTAAAGTAATGCGCTCCGTTAATGCCTACTCATTTAGTCCATCAAAGACTCCTCTGACACCTTTTGAATGATGCCATAAGTTAATACAATGTTTTGCTCTCAACACTTTTTGTTAGTTTAGTTTACTTGTCGTATTGATCAAACACGTTGATTAAACACATTATACTACTTTTCCTTTGGAAATGAAAGAATTCTGTCTTCAATTCAATGAATGTAGCCATTTTAATCTTTTTTATGTTCTGTGTAAAACTGTAATGCATTGTTTCTCACTTAGTAAGTAAGGGTAGCTATTCTCGTTAAGTGAATGCATAAATGTCAGCTACACAATACCTTATTGTTTGACACCCCCCCCCCACACACACACCCCCCCCCCAACTGTAGCTTGTAGCATCAGGCAGCCTCTGTTTCCTCTGCTGCAGAACAGTTATAGAGACAGAGCACCTGCCCTCGTGCCTGAGCACTGTTCCCAGCAGCTTGCTAATGTCAACCTGCCTGATTCGCACAGTGGGGTGGGGGCTCCAAGACAGCAGCAATTTTCCACTGCATGCGAATAAGACTGGAGAGCAATCTGCTGGCCTAAGAGCCTCATAATCAGCACATCATTATCAGGAGGGGGTTGGTGCATGGGGTGGCAGGCTGGGTGAGGAGAAAGGAAATAAAAGGAGGGAGCAATGGATGACACCAAATGAGCCCCTGGTAGATACGAGACATTGTAAGACATAGGGGAAAAAGGAAGTTGGTCAGTTGGATGTTCTCTGTTAGTCAATATTACTGTTCTTCAACACTCCTAAAATGTAATGGCACACACAGGTACGTTTCTACAGCAGAAATATTGTGACAGCTCTCTTTGAAGCTTACTTTGCCCTGCGTGCATTTTTCAGTGAGTTCAAAAGGAGCAAGGACAACAAAGCTGATAGCACAGCCCATATGTACCCCTCCTCTGTTTTCAGAAGTGCCCACCATTTGTGTGTGCTCAAACTTGCCTTTCATCCTTTGTCTGGTGCTAGAGGACACATTCTGATGGGGTGAGCACTCGCAGATGATAACAGTCTGCCATCCTATTCGATCTCAGACTCATTTCTGAATCACATTAAATTGTTCAGGTGTAAGCTATTGCCTATGCTTTTCTTCTGCCACACCACAGAGTCAGGGTTTACAGGGAGCAAGGCAGAATAAACTGATTTAAAGAACGGTGCTCATACCATTTACTTTTAGTCTGTGACCCAGTTTATGCTTTCTTGGCAGTAAAAACTTCCAGCTGTTTGGAAAGATTTAGTTGTCATCAGGTAGTTTTGAAACCCAGGCTTTTGGTTTTAATGTGTCAACAATCAATCAGAGCTGTCCAAATTGATATTTCCTACCACTTTCTGCCGCGTGGTGGCAATAGTGTACAGAGCACTTGTGCTGGCATTGTTCGGCTCAGGCTTTGCGCACTACTATAGTCTATGAGATCGTCAGTTCACACACTCAAAAAATATAGTATGTGGCCAACGATAATGACAAATCGGGAGCACAATGTTGGTCGTTTTTTAAGTAAAAAAAACGCTTTTTAACATCTGTAGGAAGCTGGACTCAGAGTCTATTTACTTTCAAACACACACACACACACACACACACACACACACACACACCTGGGAGCCACAGTGCAACCTACTGCTGACCACTGGGTAATAAAATGGGGCAGCTGGCTTTGCTGAAGTGCCTTGGTCAAGGACAATGGGAAGGTAGCTTTTTAGAGAACAAACAAATAGCTTTGTTTTCATTTCAAAGAACTGACATATGACACTAACACATTTCTGTATGGGCAAAAATTGTCATCTAGACATCACATGAACTTGGAGACTGTGTTCAGGCACCATCTCGTTTTATACCCTACTTTTTAATTTTATTCCACTCTTCTCTCTGTGATACATTCAGAGGTTATTCGGAGCAGTAAGGAGATGATGTCAATATTCCGTCTCGCACACTTGACAGCCGAGCAAATTCAACTGGACTGACTCCGCCTTGCTCATGCGGGACTTGTCCACAGGCTTTTCATACTACCGCGTGCCTGTCTCTATACCCGGTGCTCTCTGACGGAGTGAGCTCTCTCCACAATCCCCCAGTCACTCACCAGTGAGGAGCAGTCTGACGCACCGGACCAGCAGCAGCCAGGACTCTTCCCGGGAGTGTGTGGCCACCGAGCAACATGTTCCCAGCGTGGAGACGGGGAAGGCGCACCGGGGGCTCGACAGTGGCGCAGCAGACCATGGTTACAACTGGACGGACTGGACAAGTCGGAGAGGTGTGGGTGTCCTGTTGGATTCTGCTGTCGGCGACTTCCATCCTCAGCGCTCAGGCTCAAGGTAAGATTTTTTTTTTTCGGACCAGCTACTGTTGTTGTTGGACACGAACAGAGAAGCGCACAAGAAAGTCTGTGGTAGAGATAGTCATAAATAAGGTAAGGCAAAAAAAATATAAGGCCAACAAAAATAGTTCCAAAAATGATAAAGATCTAGTTATATAGCCAAACTTAGACCAGCGATATCACAATGTCTGACACACACTAAATACCATTATATTCTTCAGTTGTTTAATTTGTTTTCTTAAACAACAACGTGTGTCAACTGTAGGTTTCACCTCCACCACATTCCCCACTGTAACCACAACATACTCCATATGCTGAACGAGCACCGCCTGCCTCTGCAAAACTGGACACTAATATGTAGTGACAAATGTTGGTTGGTGCCCATGATTTGTCATTGTGAGCAATTTAAAGTCACACTGTCGCCAGATAATCAGTACAACACTGTGACTTTAAATCTTCTAGATATCATGTTTTAAAATTCATGTTATTACTGTTACTGTTTTACAGCATTTACAAAAAGGCTTGGGATTAATACTTATTTTGTAAGGGGTCATCAAAACCTGTAAATGTTGTTAATCTTAGAGAAACCTGCTAAAAGACCACTGGCTTTGGCTGTGAAATCTCAGAACAGTTTCTCTGCTTGCAGAGTGAACTGCCCCTCCTGCCTATAGGCCGCCTTAATAGCATAGCACATCATTAACTTGTATGAATATGACTATGGGACAATGAAGCAGGGCCATTTGTGAAGGTTGCATCACATTTGCCTAATGTCCACTTTTGCAGTCCTAGTTAAAGGCTGTGTGAAAGTTATGTGCATGATACAATAGTATCAATCACAAAATTGTATTCACCTCCTCCACAGTCAGAGATATGTGGATGACGTTGTGAACATGTTCTACACTAATCATACAATTACTGTGAAATTGGTATGACTTGTAACTTGTTATCTGTCAGAAGATGACCTGTGCCTCTTGACCAGTGAGAAGATAATTTGATGCACAGTAGATGGTAGATTGAGACAGAAAGCCAGTGAGAGCAAATCTGTCCTGCCTCTCTCTTTCATATATGGAAAAGCTTAATTGCCTGTTGTCACAAGAACTAAAGGTAAGTTGACCAAGGACAAAGTATATTGTGTGGACTTGATCTTTAGTCACATTGAATGACATTTAACCTTATGATTCAGAATTCAACCACAGGGTCATGCAGAACCGCGAAAGATGCATGTTTGACAGATTACTTCAATAGGTCCTAAAGGAGAAAAACAAGTCTCATATTGGAAGTTGATTCATATGAGAACTGGCTTATCTGTGCATTCCTCATCTAATAATCCCAATGCTCAGTGCTCCAAAGTGCTAAAAGCAGCATAATCCATTTGCTTGTTTGTCTTTGAACAGGTCGCATTGCTCTAAAGTGCTCCCAACCTTATCTGAAAAGAGTCTCAGGCGTCTCTTATTATGCAGGGCACAGCTCCCCTAGCTGTTATTACCATCCTTTTCTCCAGCTAACATGCATGGATTCTGCAAGGATATGTTGAGTGCTTCAAGGCTACTTCACAGGGCTTTACCTTTCCTCCCTAAACAGACCTCTTTCTCATCCTTGCAGTTGCTATTCAGGCCCCTTGAATGTTCCAGGCTGCGCATTAGCATTGGTGAGAGATTCACTCCTCTGTCTGGCTGCTTTTTCAATTGAGAAGGACCTCCTCTATGGCGCATAACCGCTACTTTAGGTTCTCTAGTGAAGACGTAGTTGCAGTCTTTGCAGGGGGTCCTCACACAGGCCCGAGAGGTCTTGTTCTTCTGAAGTAGGAAGCAAATCTCATCCTCATGGGGCAGCAGTGTTTGCAAATGACTGACAGTGCGGCTGTGCCTGTGCATAAAGTTAGAGATTCTGCACTTATTCCCGGAGAGTAGAGGACCTCTGAGGATGTCATAAATTAGGCGACATACAGGCACATGATGGCCCCGGGGGATCCATAGGTGGCATGTACTTGTTTTGCAACAGGTTCCTACTGAGACTCCTGCTGCGTTTAATACTGCTGGCTGCTCCAGTGCACAAGAGGATACCTGATAGAGTCCATGGGGGAACCTTTCTCTTGCCACAGGCTGCTCTCAGCAGGCCATTTTAAGACTCATTTAGACCCCCTCATCAAAATACCAAGTAAACAGATGTGAGGTTTTGTCTTACTTCACCTCTTAGCGGTATCTGTATCTTCTCACCCCTCCTCTACTGCTGAAATCTACCCATGTGTCTTGTGACTGACTGTGTTTCTATGTGCATCTTGTTGTGTTCATCTGTGAAAATGTGCGTGTGTGCTTGCTGACGTTTACTGTATGCTCCTGTCTATTGAGCTTTAATCTAGATAGCAGCATTGACATTCTGCCAACCAGCAGCTGCCATAATTTTCTGGACGTACGTTATTATGCAGCTTGACAGCTGTCAGCCATTTCCAAATCTTTAAATCTTATGATAATCCACCATGCTTACAAAAAAGCATTTGTTTAAAACACTCTGAATCCTTGTGTGATTAAACCTCCCTGCTCTAATGCAGGCAGCAGATCATAATTCTTCTACGTCAGTGACACACCAACACACGCGCATGCAAACACATCCACAGAAAGATAGAAAAATCAATGTGTACAAGATTACACAACTCCATCAAGAGAAATATAATACAGTTTTAATAGAATCAAAGGCATCTGCTAGTTCCAACAAAGACTGATGACAAACCCAATCGTCCGAGCCCACACGTACAACACTCCATCACAAATAATAGAAAGCTTAATCTGTTTTGCATGTAGCGCCACAAAAGTAGACCCACATAGTCACATTGATGGCCTCAAGCATCCGATTTTAGACATGATACTAAATCTTGAACCCTATGTGATGAAATCATTGCGTTTCCAAAACTTGAAGCACTTGGATCACGTCACAAGTCTCTTATGGGGCACAGCAACGTGGGAGTGGGAGTGCTGTAACTTCTCAGCTACCATACCATAATTATACACTGTGCATATTTATGACATACAGTATGTATCTCCCTGCATGGTGTAATGTAGTTAATTAAACATGTTTGTTGCTCCAGAGAGCTAACAGATGTCTGCTGAAATTTGGTCTAAATGCTTGTTTTCTTCGCAACGTGGCTCATGCCCAGAAAGACCAGCGAGTGGCTTGCACAGCCTCAGGTGAAACGCGATGGCAGCCTGACTTCCAAATCAGACTCCTCATGTGTCTTCAGTGCCTGCCTCCGAATGTCTGGCTGGTTGGCTGCTTTTTCTCTGGCAGCCAAATGCTGTCTACACATGTTTATTCATGTTGCCACTAGATGCCTTATTCACCAAGATGGAACATATCACAGCTGAATTAGAAACAAAAAGTCGGTGCTCTCTGGCAGCAACATTTGAAAATAAATGAATGAGAAAGCCTGATACGTTTTCACAACAAAAATGAATGGGAATGTTTCAGAAAAGACAGAAAATACAAGTATAGCAAACCTGTTTAAGGGTGATAAATGATTAGTATATTTTATTGTTGAAGAACAATTGGGCCGCTGCACTGTCAACATTTTTTAGCTTCAGGAGGCCTTTAATTGGCTCAGTCGAGCAGCGAAACTGTTTTTATAGTTCATAATGGAAATTTAATCAAATTAACTTGTACTGCAGGGTTTTGGCATTCACCCCTTGCCCAGTAATTGCCATTTGCCCAAAGGGCTGTGGTAATGGCTATTTGCATGGGGCAAAGAGTCGTATCTCCCACCATGTGTCTGTCATGCTGCCATATTGGGGTAGCTGGCCGAAATTGTTACTTACTATGCAGGAGGAGTTTAATTTTACTTTGCTTGTGTTAAGTACTTATTAATATGATGTGAGTTCGCTGAGAATTTTATCAGCTGAAGAAGTCACACAGTAACCCAAACCCATGGTCTGTTTAATGATAGGCTGGAGAATAAAAGGTTTTATGCAACCAGTGGGGTACGGCAAAACGTGTTATGCAGACGGATTTTCTATACCTATGGACTGCTCTTCTTTGTCTTACTGCGTGGAAAACTTCGGGATGGGTACAAGCAGCACTGATAGACGAGGCAAGTCCTTCTTTTGGGTGCCAATTTTAATCACATAGCTGGGAGTGGTTTTGTTTTCATGTCTCCTTGTTTACTGATGAGACTGAGGGGAGAAGCGTTGCAGGGGGAAACCGACAAGTTCTTTACTTATTAATTCTCCTGGCTAAAAGTCTAATCAAGCTGACACAGGACCACAAGGCACCTCTTCAGCTATCAAGAACAAAAAGAAATGTCTTAGAATACGCCCTGAGCTGGGACAGAAATTGAAAGAGGAAATGACCTTGAATAGGGAGTGGGATTCAAAGTGGCACAATTCGTTTAATTTGCCTGATATCATTTTGACAAGGGAACAGAGATGTTCTGCATGCTGCATCATCAAAGCATCATTCTAAGAAAAAATTTGAAAAGCCCTCAAAATGGTGTCATTACTTTCATCCAGGGGAAAGAGGGATTGTACTGAGGCAGTATTCTTGGACCATACATCTGTCTTCAAGCCCCCAAGCTGTTCCATGTAAACATTTAAACAACACAAAGGCAACTCAAGAAAAACTGTGGTGAGAAACAATGCTTTTTACAGCATAATGTGCGCACTGAATCTCTGCTCTCATTCAGCTCGCTCCTCCTGGGGACTGGTGAGTGTATTCTTGTGTTGTGAATAAAATGGCAAAAGAGGCAAAGAAATAGATAAATGGAGGAGAAACAGTGGTGGGGGTGGGAGGGCCCTGTATTTTTTCTCCCTCTCCTAGTAAAAACAACTGGTGGTACCAATCCATTTTTCTTTGTACATTCCCACGAATGACATTCTGCTCTATTCTTCTGCTGACCTCAAGCCAAGCCAATCACAACACTTGGTTATGTTGCCCTACACCCAGCAGCAATTTTACCTGCAGTAAGTGATGGCGTGGATAGACATGCCAATATTGTGGTTTCACTCAATACAG